TTGATCAGCAATATTCCACTGCTAGGTCTGTATGCCAAAGAGATCATAAAAAATGGAAAAGGACCTACATGTACAAAAATTTTTATAGCAGCTCTTTTCATGGTGGCAAAATATTGGAAATTGAGGAGATACCTATCCATTGAGGAATGGCTAAACAAGCTGTGGTACATGAATATAATGGAATACTATTGTGCAATAAGAAATGATGAGCAGGCAGATTTCAGAAAAACCTGGAAAGGCTTGTATGAACTGATGCAAAGTGAAATGAGCAGAACCAGGAAAATATTGTGAACAGTATCAGCAACATTGTGTGATGAGCAACTATGAATGTGAATCAGCTCTTCTCAGCAACCCAGTGATCCAAGACAAACACAAAGGACTCAAGAAGAAAAATGTTATCCACATTTAGATAAAGAACTGATGGACTTTGAATGCAGATGGAATTTTTTCGCTTTATTCCTTTTCATGGTTTTTTCCCTCTCTGTTTCTTCTTTCACAGCTGTGATGAATATGGAAATATATTTTATATGATAGCACATGCAGAACTGATATCAAATAGCCTACCATTTTAAGAGAAGAGAAGGGTAGGAAGGGAGAAAAATTTGGAACTCAAGATCCTGTAAAAATGAATGCTAAAAATTTTCTTGACTTGTATTTGGGAAAAAAAATAAAATACTATTAAAAAAAAGAGCTGAAGAAGGAAATGGCAAAGCACTCCAGTATCTTTGCTAAGAAAACCCCAGATGGGCTCACAAAGATTGAGACACAACTGAATAAAAAACCAAAAAACAAAGGACTGAACATTCTTGGTTCTTAGCACCATGCCTGGAACATAGTAGGCACTTAATAAACATTTATTGAATGACTGACTGTTACAAGGATTTTTATTTTAATTTGATTTTTCAAAGGGGTGGAGGAATATGGAAGGGAAAGAAATTAGATTTATTTTCATTTAAAAATATACAATTTAAGTTAAAAGAAACAAAGCAAAACATTGAGTACCTGCAGCCCAGAAAGTTTAATGGTTGGATGGTCATGTTTTAGCATGATGTGCCAAGGACATCAAATGTGAGGTCAGAAGATCTAGGTTGAAATTTAGTCTCTGCTGCTTATAAGTTGTGTAATGTTGGGCAAGTCAGTTCTAATCTCTAAGCTTCAGTTTCTTCATCTGCAAAATGAGGACTAGATGAGCTCTAAGGGCCCTTTAAACTCTAACATTAATGATCCTATTAGCATTATGGGACCTTGCAAGATAATTAGTCAGTCAACAAATGTTCATTAAGTGCTTCTTACTTATCAGGTGCTGTGCTAAGGCTGGATACAAAGAAAGGCAAAAAGTCCTTAAAGGAAGGAGGTAGCTAGAAGGTTTAGTGGATATAACACTGGACCTGGAGTCAGGGAAACTTGAGTTCAAATCTGGCCTCAGACACTAGCTCTGTGACCCTGGGCAAGTTACTTAACCTGTTTGTTTTAATCCACTGGAGAAAAAACATGGGAAATCACTCCAGTCCCTTTGCCAAGAGAACCCTTTGGACAGGATGGACAGGACTGAACAATAATAACACCTCAAGAAGCTCATGTTCTAATGTGAAAATTAACACTTAGTCTTACTGATAAGGAAAATAAAGCTCAGAGAGGATAAATTACTTGTCCAAAGTCACACAGGAAGTTGATTGGAGAATCTGGACAGGAGCCCTTTTCTCCAGTCTCCCAGACCTCACAGTGGCTTGGTTTAAAAGAAATCATTCTGCATGTAAAGAATATTCCATAGCACTGGCTTTGAGCTTTTCCCAGAGAGAGAAGCCCTTGGTCAGAGGCAGGACTGTTGGTGCCTGTGCTGTGTAAACCTGGGAAGGAGTGGGGTGCTGGAGGTGGGGAAGGGAGGGATCGGAGACTTAGGGTAGCACTTATTTCACACCTTGCAAGGCTGGGCTAATACACATGGTCAGTAATGTTGCCTTTGTGGCTAGCAGATGTACTTAGCTTTAAGAAAACATGACATTCACCCAAAAGAAAAGTTAGTGGAAATTATTCCCATTTGAAAAAGTATTCTTCTCTTTATAAAAGTCAGTGCATTTGTGATGGATTACAGATTATTAGCTATTTCATGAAAAGATTGCGTTGTGAAAGCAAGGTAAGGAACAGCAGCAGATCCTGCTGCCGTGGAAGTCAGGAAACATGGGATCTGACTCCTGATTCCAATACTAAGCTGTGCAACCTGGTCAAGTCACTGAACCCCTCTGAGTCTCAGTTTCTTTCTCTGGAAAATAGGGATTATGATGCCTGCCACATGGTACAGTGAAAAGAATAGAACACTGGATTTGGAGTCAAGAAGACCTGAGTTCACACCCCACCTCTGATGCCAACCTACCTGTGTAACCTTGCACAAGTCACCACCTTCCTGGGTGTCAGTTTCCTTAAGTGTAAAATGAGGGGGTCACACAGCTCCTGACATCCCTTACAGTTCTAAAGCTATGATCCTATGATCAAATGAGATCATGTGAAGAGTGCTCTATGAATGTCAGCTATTTTCAGAAAGATGAAGAAAAACTCAAAGCTGATATTGAGGTATCATTGCCAATTACAGATCAATTAAAATTGCAGTGTCCTAATCATTATCTAAGGCATCATGTAAAATTCCTTTCCCCTGTTGGGTAAAGTGAGGTAACCTTGTATGAAAAGCCCCATCAAGAGTCTAAAATCCTGTGTATTTGGGAAAAGGTTCATGAATGAGTAAGGGTGAGAGATGGGAAGGGAAAGGAATAAGCATTCACATAGCACCTACCTTGCACCAGACGTTGTACTGTGCACTTACAAAATTATCTCATTTAATTGTCACAGCCATGTAAAGGTTGTTTGTTGTTGTTTCATCATTTATCATCATGCCTGACTGTGATCTTTCTGAGGGTTTTCTTGGCAAAGATACTAGAGAGGTTTGTCTTTTCCTTCTCCAGCTCAATTTACAGATGAGGAAACTGAGGCAAACAGGGCTAAGTGACTTGCCCAGGGTTATGCAGCTAGTAAGTATCAGAAGCCAGATTCGAACTAGGTCTTCCTGACTCCCTGTCCAGTGCTCTATCTTCTGAGCCATCATTTGCATCAGAATAGGGGTAAGAAGTCAGGATGGGAGCTCTACCCTTGGTGTAGACAAATAAAGCAGTTTGTCTTGCATCTGGGCCCTCTAGCTCAAGTTTTGAGGGGTTGGAGTGGGGGATGGATTAGGAGTATTCTTCTGTTAGCACATAGCAATAATATTAGATCACATTTACTCTTTGCTTTAAGGTTTACTGAGTACGAACAAAGCAGGCAATTGAATTATGATCACTTTTACCTAGTATTGCCTTTCTCTGTTTTCACCTGGCTGAGGCAGTGAACAAGATACCAGAGAGCATCTCCTTTCTTTAGAGCCAGTCTCTGGTCAGTTTCACTTCCTGGATCCTGCAGATGTATAGATGGCTAAAGGGGGATTTTGAATTCTATTTAAAAACTACATTTGCATTTGATTCAAAGTGCCATGAAGATATTATTAAGCATAGTGAGCACTAGAACCCCTTTCACTCTTTCTTTTGGGGTGATGATGATGATGGTGGTAAAAGTGAGTTTTCTAGAGAGACAGCATGATGTAGTGGAAAGAACATTGGCCTCTGCCTCAGTTTCAGCTTTACCAATCTTTCCCCCACTTTGCAGTTGCTAATGACCTCTCTCTCTCTCTCTCTCTCTCTCTCTCTCTCTCTCTCTCTCTCTCTTTTTGCTTTGGCAATCAGGGTTAAGTGACTTGCTCAGGATCACACAGCTAGTAAGTGTCAAGGGTATGAGGCTGAATTTGAACTCAGTTCTTCCTGACTCAAAAGCCAGAGGTTTATCCACTGTGCCACCTAGCTGCCCCTCTAATGACTTCTCTTTTCAGATTATCCTCTACTCACTTTTGTATATACCTAGTTATTAACAGCTCCTGCCCCCATCCCACCCCCATTAGAATGTAAGCTCCTAAGGGCAAAATGTGTTTTTTCCCTTTGCATTCTCAGTACTTAGCACAGTACCAGGCATATAGTAAGTGCTTAAGTAATACCTATTGACTGACTGACTTGGCACTCCCAGAAGATATGAACTCTAGTCTTGCCTGTGCTACTTTCTAATTGTGTAACCCGAGATAAAGGTCTCAATTTCCTTATCTATAAAATGATAGAGTTCAGACTAGAGGATCTCTAAAGCTCTCCCAACTCTCAAATTCTGTGTGAGAAGCAGTACTCAGGACAAAAGACTAATAATTAAGGCCTCTTAAATTTTCATCTGGTTCCACTAGTAACTAGTTGAATTTTTTAAGAGAAAGTCTCTTTGTTTCTCTCTGTAAGATGAAGTTCGTGGGAGTAACATTTGCCTCACACCCCTAATCCATCCCCCACTCCAACCCCTCAATGCAGTGAGCCATTGTTTTAGAAAGGGCTTTGAGGAACTGGGTGGAATGGCATTGTCTAAAGAAGTTTTGGGATGGCTTCTTGACAGCTGGCCCCTAATAATGAATCTTTGAATAATGAGATGATAGGTGGCGGCAGGTTGATCCTGGCTGCTTCCTTCCTCATTGGAATCCTGACAAACTACAGAGAGCCACTGAGACATGAGACCTGGTCTAGGGACCCACTAGAATAGCCTGATCTTGTGTCTAGATAGTGCTGATCACATAAAATGCATTCCAGGAACACTCATTGAATTTAATTAAATTTTAATGATACTATAGAGAAATCTAACTTTGTTGTACAAAACTATTATTACTAAATATCTAAGCATGCTAGCCCTCCCTTCAGTAAAGAATTCCTTTAGAGAAGAGAATTTTGGTTACCAATCTGTATACCCCTCAGTTAGCCCAACTGGCTTGATAGCAAGCATAGCAATGTAAAATCTCTCCTTACATAGCTAAGGCTGTGTGCATGAGTCACTTCCCTCATTGTAGCTGCAAATAGAATTATAATTCTTTTCTTTTTTAACTTTGATATGTTTTCCAGATTGAAGTGTTGACAGAAAGGATGTTCAAATATCTCCGGAAATATTTTGCTATACACCTTTTTGGACATTCCCAACGGAGAGCAAGGCTAGTCTCCAAAGATGGAAGGTGTAACATAGAGTTCGGCAATGTGGAGGCACAATCAAGGTTGTTCTTCTTTGTGGATATCTGGACGACAGTGCTTGACCTCAAGTGGAGGTACAAAATGACCATTTTTATCGCTGTCTTCTTAGGCAGCTGGTTCTTCTTTGGCCTCCTATGGTACGCGGTAGCCTACATACATAAAGATCTTCCAGAGTTTCATCCGTCTAGCAACCATACTCCATGTGTGGATAACATTAACAGCTTGACCTCAGCTTTCCTATTTTCTCTAGAAACACAAGTTACCATCGGTTATGGTTACCGGTGTGTGACAGAACAATGTGGCACCGCCATCTTCCTTCTTGTCTTCCAGTCCATCCTTGGGGTTATAATCAACTCTTTCATGTGTGGTGCCATCTTAGCCAAGATCTCTAGACCAAAGAAACGAGCCAAAACCATCACCTTCAGTAAGAATGCTGTCATCAGCAAACGGGGTGGGAAACTTTGTCTCCTGATCCGGGTGGCTAACCTTAGGAAAAGCCTCTTGATTGGCAGTCACATCTATGGCAAGCTCTTGAGGACCATAGTCACACCTGAGGGAGAGACCATTATTTTGGACCAGGTAGATATCAACTTTGTGATTGATGCAGGCAATGAAAACTTGTTCTTTATTTCTCCATTGACCATCTATCATGTTATTGACCATAACAGCCCCTTTTTCCACATGGCACCTGAAAACATTCTCCAGCAGGACTTTGAGCTGGTGGTGTTTCTAGAGGGAACAGTGGAGTCCACTAGTGCCACCTGTCAGGCCCGGACATCCTATGTCCCGGAGGAAGTGCTATGGGGTTATCGTTTTGCCCCCATGGTGTCCAAGACCAAGGAAGGGAAGTATAGAGTAGATTTCCATAACTTTGGCAAGACAGTGGCAGTGGATACCCCACATTGTGCCTTATGCCTTTACAATGAGAAAGATGCCAAAGTCAGGTTGAAGAGAAGCTATGACAATCCCAACTTTGTCCTGGCAGAAGTCAGTGAAACAGATGATACCAAAATGTAGCCATTTAGCTTAACAAAGCAAAAATACTATGGTACATGACAACTTAGAAACACAGAGAATCAATCAGAATTTTCAGGGATGCCTAAACAGGACAAGAACCTTCAAAGAAAGTTTATGAGTACTATTACTCTTTGCATTCTGTGGTCCAACCTTATAGAACACAGCACTACCAATTTCAGGCAGTAGTAGTGTATAGGAGTCTCTTTAAAGTAATTAAGACATCAAACAATCTGACTGTAAGTTCCTTGAAGGCAAGAGCTGCTTCATTTTTGCTCTGAGTTCCTAGGGGCTAGCTTAGTGCCTTCACTTTCTTAACTTTCAGGGCTTGTTGTTGGGTTGAACTGATATGAACATGTGAAGTAAGCAAATTCCAATGCCACCCTCCCCACCCTTTGCAATCTGGGAGTTCTTTTTAGCAATATTCATGATTGACATATGGATGGGCTTCTGAAGGAGATCTGTCCAAATTTTTACTTTGTGTTAAGTCAGAGTCATTGCAACAGATAGTGTGTAACTGATGGTGTCTACCTAAGTAAAGGAAGCTGGAGAATTGAGATAATTATCTAGCAGGGGTGGGGAGCCTGCAGCCTCGAGGCCTCATGTGGCCCTCTAGGTCCTCAAGTGTGGCCTTTTGACTGAATGACTTCACAGCCACACTTGAGGACCTAGAGGGCCACATGTGGCCTTGAGGCCACAGGCTCCCCACCCCTGAGATGGGGGAAAATCCACAAATTTAATTAAGAGGCAAATAGGAAGATGTTGTCTTGATGATCTAGCCTGGCTGTCTACATTGTCACTAATTATTTTCTGCTGTCCACTATGATTTTCATGACTTTTATTTACATGGGGTGTCCCAATGAAAACTAGCCCCAATAAATACACTACAGGGATCAGTAGCTAATAATTACGGATTTAGAGATAAAAGGGACCTCACAGGACATCTAGTCCAACCTCCTTGATTTCTACATAAGGAAACTTGAAGCCCTAAGAGGTGAACTGATTGAAAGGCCTCAGCCATAGAAGTACTCATTTGGGGCGATTTTTTTTTTCAGGAAAGTTAAAAATGGTTTATGAATTATTCACAGTGGTAGAGAACACACAAATATCAAATAGGATCTCAAAGAATGATTTTCCTACTCCGTACCACCACCCCTCAAAGAAATTGTGAATTTCTCAGGGTAGCCGTATTCTCACTTGATTCAGTTGATGCTGAGAATCGAGAATCATCTCTCTTATAACACTCTGTCTTCCATCAAATGAAACATGGGCTGAACTAGAGAAGAAAGCCCAGCCTGCCAGAAAGAAGAGGAGGCTGTTGAACAAAGGGAGTAACTGTGTGGCTAAACCATACAGATCCAACTTTAAAAATAACTCTTGGGCGATGGCCCACACTTCCCACTCCTGGCTGTTGGTACTCAGTAAAGTCCAGCAATTGCTCAACACAGATGAGCCCACTTAGGCTGTGTCTACCCACACCTACAGTGGAGTGGAGATCTGGAGCCTAAACCATTTTCTGAAAGAGCCAAATAAACTCAAGACCCATGTTGGTCTTTGGCCAACTTAACAGCTTCAAATTTCTGTTCCATGTTGTATGTATAGACAGACACATCTTAAGTCAGTGAATTGGAATCTGCACTCATACTTCCTTGCAAAGATATATACTTGATTTGAAAGCTGTGATACTATTTTCCTAAAAGACACCTTTATGTTCTCCCAGTGTTGACTGGGATTATAAGTGAAAATTCTGTTATACTGGGCACGGCCTGACTTCCTAAGAGATCCAACAAGGAGTTTAAAGGTACGAAGCTATACTTGAAATGGAAGCTCAACAAAACCACAGAGAAGGTTCATTGGTCTTGTCTGTTAGGGCTTCTTATGACCCAGCTCCTTCCAAAAGAGAAGTGAGAATAGACAATGAATGGAATGAAATGTAGCAGTCAAGAAACTTACCAATCTTCCAGTTCTCCCCTACCCCATCCCCTCCTCCTTTTGTTACCCAGGATATGAGTGTACTTGGGTTTTATTCAGTTCCTTCCTTCTGCCATTTTGAATGTGAACTATAGTAGATGGTACCTAATTCCAAGCAGGAATCATTTTTTTTTTGGTCAGAGTGTTAATATATAAAATTTGTAAATATTTAATGCTTTTTTTCAAAGCAACATTTATCATTAGAGAATAAACTTATTTTAAAAACCAACTGCAGATAGAATGGGTTTTTTTTTCTTAGAGACAGGTAGATTTATTGGGGGTTGGGGAGGTGATTAAATAAAATACACTTATTGTCTGGTTATCTATCTTATTACACCCAAAGAAGAAACAACTTCTCTTGTAGTCATTACTCTTCTACTGTAATGCTACTCTACTGGACTCTTACAATCATAGTCTTTTGTATATGGGGTGATGCTATGGCACTCTTAGTAGCAAGGAATATGTTTTGTTTTTTAAGTAGTGATGAAGTATATGGGCTGATCCATCTACATACTTTGGTCCTTGTGACCCAATATGACATTAGATGGCTATCTATCAGTGCCTTCTGTGGCTATGAAACAGAGGAGCCAAGCACCTCACACAGGGACTAAATTGCTGATCATTTAAATTCAACACACAATGAAGTACTGACCCTGCTGGAGAGCACTGGACATATGAACAAGAGTAGTCTTATCTTCATCATGGTCTAGTAATCTGATCTATTGTTTGATCAATCAGTTGAATAACATTTATTAATGTTATTCATGTGCCTGGCACTGTATCAAACACTGGGAATACCCAAAGAAAATAGAAAAAGAAAGACAGTTTCTGCCCTGAAGAAACTTACAATCTACTGGGGGAAGACAACATATGAGAGAAGAGGTATGAAGCACAGAGACATCATGGCAAAGTCCAGAGGAGAGCTGCCAAATGGGAAATGAACAGTCATAGTTGAGTCATTGTAATTTGACTTTGATATATCTGTCTTCACCTACCCTTGTTCTTATGTGATTTGCTTTTGACTTCATATAATCTCCAAAGATTTTAGTGCCCTCTTACTCTCATATTTACTTATCTGTTGACATGTTGTATTCTCACAGTAGAATGTAAGCTCCTCAAGGGCATATTTGTCTTTGTAGCCTCTGCGCTTAGTATAGTGCATTGTACATAAGAAGTATTAACAAATAATTATTGAATTGAAAAGAATAGATTTGCCTTATGGCCCTTAGAGTATGATTTTAAATGGATCACTCAATATTTATAATGTGCATTGTGTGGGACAAGATGCTAGTGAATATATGAAAGCAGTAAATGCCCTGGAAAGGTATATTCAGTTTTCTGGGCCACAAAGAACCTTTGACTAAATAGGTTATTCTTTGCCTGTTGCTACTTTTATAAGGTGGAAAAAAATGGATTGAATTGATGAGTACCGATCAAAGCCTATCCTTTCTAACTCATTTGCTGCTTCTTCCCAGATTGCCTGGGGCCTGCCTCTCTGCAGTCAGTATTTCCACTGCCATTGATCTCCTGAATGATGCCAATTTAGCATAGTTGCCATGGGATCTGTGACTCTGAGGATCTGGTTTCTAGCTCTACAGCTCCCTGGCTCTTGCAGAATCTTGGAAATGGGAGAGCAAACTCTGACACTAGAATTGAGGTTTGGGGTAATTGATTCTAGGGGTGAAGGCAACAAGACTTCAATATATTAATGTCAGAAAGGAAAGGGTCAGTGTGAAAGGAGAGAAGGAGGGGGTTCTATATGAAAAGTTGTCATGTTCAAGAAGGGACAGGGAACCTCCCTCTCAGTTTGTACTGAGAATGGGCATGAGTTATAGAGAGCAGGAAGAAAATTCTGGGGATAAGGATTATAAGACACTGGGATGTATGACCATGGGAGGTTGCAGAGACACAATTTTAAAAGTTTTAAAATCAGTGGTCCTTGGATTTTACAGCAGCTGAAGTGGGAAGCTGTAGCATTGGAGGAAGTGGGAGAAAGGCCTGGAGCTGGAGTTATAGGGCCCAAGTTTGGATCCCACCCCTATTTTACTAACTGTGTGACCTTAGGCAGGTAATTTCCCCCCTTTGAGCCTCAGTGTCCTCATCTTTAAAAAGAAAGCATTGGACACGGTCATCTCTATGGTCTCCTCCAGCTCTGTGTCCTATGATCTCAGAGCCCTGTGTGTCACTTGACTCCTACGCTGATACTGTACAATGGGTAGTTAAGCAATGGTTCATAAACATTTATTAAGGCTTGCAATGTACTGTGCCAAGTGCTGTGGGTACAAATAAGAAAAAGAATGACTGTCCCTGTCCTCAAGGATTGCACAATCTAATAAGGGAAAACAATATATAAAATGAAACTAAAAAGGAGGGTACCAGAAGGCGCCTGACTGACGCAGGGACATGATGTTTATGGTGTCGATACCAAGCAGAATAGCTAGTGGAAAATAAGAGTTTAGCTGGAAAGTTCTGAGCCTTCCACAAAGAAAGGCTTTGGGAGGAATTCATTGCCGTACCTCCCAATCTGTAATGAGAGGGGAGAGGCAGCTGAGAGTACTGAGCAGGTGTTGAATATCAAAGCTGGATCAACCTCCATGATGATGGAATTTCAGGTGGTGAACTTATCCGGGGACGGGGCATTATGTCCTTGGAGTAAAAAACAAGCAGAGCCACTGACGGAAAATAAAAATGAAAAGTAGAGTCAAATAACTCACTTCCTGCTACCTTCTCCTGCACCTTGAGATGAGAAACAACAAATGTGTAACTAGAATTTTGGAGTGAAAGGTTTGGGGTAGACATGAACACCACATTTCTTTGGGGATTCTGCCTTGGATCGTGATGGACACTGATCTCAGCTTTGGTGCCATATTCAATGGCAAATTATCCCCAGTGAATCTGGCCTGCAACCAGACACTGAAATCCATCCTTGTGTGACTACTTCAAGTGTGTGTGATTGTTATTCTTGTCTTTCCTACATCACTCAGGTATATTCTAGGGACAAGGAACCTGACTGTGATGGAGTATCTGATAGGCATTAAGGGAAATAGGGAGCTATGGACTTTTTCTGCATATGGAGAGTGGGATAAAGATTAAGTCAAGTTTCCAGTGAGGATCAATCCTTTCGAACTAATATTTGGCTTACTCAGAGTTTGATGACAAGAACCCTTGTGACCAGGCCTTCTGAATCCCTTTTTACCAGCCCTTGAAATATAATTACGCCTCTCTGACTTTGTTAGGTGTCTGGTGGATACTCCTGAGCCCCACCCTAGCTGGCTACCTCCAAAATTTTTTAAATAAGCAAAGACTTTATTAACAATCAGAACTTCAAGATGGAAAAAGATGCTTTGAGTTCCCCATTTCAGGGAGGTCCTCATTTGGGATAATCATTTTGGGGGTAGAAGGACCTCTAAGGCCATCTAGTTCAACTCTCTCATTTAACAGGGGAGGAAAAAGCAGGCCTTCCAAGTTAAGTGACTCACTTAAGATCACAAAGGTAGTAAGCAGTGGAAGCAAGGTTAGAAGCCAGATATTCCCACTGTACTACACTGCTCCTTTTAACTAGAAAATAGGGAATGGCATCATGTTTTATATAGCAGTT